GCACCCACACACACAGACACTCACACACACACACAATTTACAGCTTTCAAAGCAACTATAATACGGAAATAGGTCAGGAAATATTGCATTAGACAATCGCCGGCTAGAAAAGCTGCTAGTCCTAGAACTAGGGCTCGATCCTGCAGGCACAAATAAGTGAGTACAAATAGGACTAAACCCACAGAAAATATATCCGCAGTATTCGCAATAGTGCACGAGCATCAGACAAGACTTCAGAACCACGACAAGGAAGACGATCTCAGAGCTTGGTTCATTACTTACATGAGACAAGCCTTATAATATTTAACATCGACCAGGAGGATCTACCGCAAGAAACACAAAATGAAGAGAGATAAACAACACAGATAGAGGTTTACCTCGAGATTAGGTGATTAGCAAAGTGACTACAGTATTAGGGAGAGAATTGATGTACCCGTGTTCTGCTCTCTTGCTAATTGAAAAGACAATAGGGAAGCAATAACGGGAAATTTTTATTTGCGACAGTAAAATAATAGACAGAGACAAGAGGTTTGCCATGAACAACAAACGAGAAAAGCACACACACACACACACACACACACACACACACACACACACACACACACACACACACACACACACACACACACACACACACACACACACATACACACACACTGACAAACAAGAACAATGCCTTCAACGAAAGAATCTCTTGATCTTATCATCGTCTCATCTCCCAGAGCAGCAGCATCATTAGCGTACAGATCCACACAACCCTGCCTCTCCCCTCCCTCCCCTAGAACCCTCTCCCTCCTAACCCAGTCTATCCCTCCACCTACCCAACCCCCCAACCCCTGCATCACCCATTCAACCTTAAAAAAAAATGTTTATGTTGCAGAATGCATCTTTTAAACAAGAAGAACAACAATGTAGTAAATAATGTTGTTGAAAAGTTATTACTTAAGGAGATAGACGTAGGTAGCCCTCCATCTGCGTGGAGAGTTTACGGGCTCCTGTGGGGATGGTATGAAGG